TAAATAAGTATTATTCTTATAAATAGATCTTTCAATAAATTTTAAAAGAAAACAATTAAAAAACATATGAAAAATGACTAAAATAAACCGACACAAAATTGAAATAAAGAAAATAGCGTCTAGACAATCATAAAATAATATTACAAATAATATATATTGGTTAATTAGTTTAACCTATGTAGACAAAAAAAATCGTGTTATATTTTTATAAACACAAAATCGTACAAATTACATTTAATTTAATATATGCGGGTCCTATTATCTATTTGGATCCTTTGATTCTCTCTCCGAGTCAATCCGTTTTTCTAATTTGAATTTGGGTGGCTTCTTTGATCCGAAGGGATTTTGGTCTTCGGTTTGACTTCGCCGGCTTTTGGGAGACTTTGGTATCCGTGTTGGCGATTTTGATCGTCAGCTTTGGATTGATGCCTCCTTTGGATGATCCGACGGAATTTGATCTTTGAGGGGGGAGATTTGGTGTTTCATAACACTTTTGGCGGCGTGTTCCGTTGACTTTTGGATCGAAGAGGGCCTGATTTGCGCCTTTTATGAAGAACGCGACGAACATCTTGAAGCTTTGAGAGCGGCTTTGGAGGCTCTTCTTTGGCTTTGATGGATTCCTCGATGGCTTTGAGAGCTTTGATCCTTCCTCCGGCTTGGACATACGACGAAGAACGTTAAATTCATCGATTCGCCAACCAATATTGGATCATTTGTCCAAATCGGTGACTTTTCGACGAAGAACGCTTCGAAGGACACGAAGAACAATGAAGAACATTGCAAAGAGTCTACAGAGACTTACCCTTGCGCGAGTCTTCAAATGAACTTCGGTGTGTCAAATGAACTGGCCATGACTCCTATTTATAGGGGAGGGTGGCCTTGGCTTCCTTTTCGGATGGTGCCACGTGGATGGAAAGATTTTATAATCTTTCCTTTCCCATCGGATGCCGTTTTCCATTTTTGACGGATTTGATTGTGCACCTTCCTTTCTCGCCAAAATCTTTATATCATTGCCTTTTTTGGAAGATATTAATTTATATACTTCCTTTATTGACAAGATCTTTATATCATTGCCTTGTTTGGAAGATATTAATTTATATACTTCCTTTATTGACAAGATTAATTTATTTTGCTGCCAAATTTATTATGGCTCTATTTATGTACGTAATATTTGTACGTTATCTTCCATTTTAAGCAGATTTTCGCATTAATGGTTGATATTTATTGTACAAAAATTAACATATGTGCATAATTAAATACTATATATTTATATTATTGGAATTTTATTTTCCTTCAAAATACATGATATTTAATTTAATTTAGACATTTAATTTTTAATGCCTACAAAATGCCCCCTCGAGACTTGTTTAAGCCGACGCAAAATGTTTATGGCGTGAACGAGTCTCCAAAAATAGAAAAAGAATTTCTTTTTTTTTTAATGGCTTTTTTTTTTTTGCCATTTTTTTTTGGCAAAGTTGGAATTTTTTTGCATTTTTTTTTATAAATGGCGTTTTTGCCATTTTTTTTTAATGCAAAATTGACATTTTTTTTAATGGCGTCTTTGCCATTTTTTTTTTAAATGGCATTTTTGCCAATTTTTTTTATATATATATATATACACATATCATATATATATATATATTCTTTCCTTATTCTTTGTTTTTATTTTTATCTTCCTTCCCATTTTTTTTATTTCCTTATCTTCTTCCTTTCCTTTTTTTTTTTATTTCCTTATCTTCTTCCTTCCCTTATGCATGTCTTTCCATGTCTCAATTTTTAGACACTATATAAACCCCTCATCATGAGAGAACTTTATCATTCTCAACTTCTCACAACTTTGATTTCTCTCATTCTATGGTAGGCTTATTTCTCTTGTGTTGTTCTTTTTTTTTTTTTTTTTTTTTTTCATCTTTTGATCTTTGCTTATTTATTTTTTTTTTTTTTGTAGGCGAGATGGCTTACTTCAAGGATGTCTCCTCCCCCTCTGGAAACGCCGATGGTGATTTGCGAGTTTGAAGGTCAACCGCTGGACAAGGCGACTCGTCTATTGGTGCATCCACCACTCATAGGACGCGGAGCTGCTCGCCCTCGCTTGGAGGTCCCAAATTTCCCAAAGACGTGGTCTCGGAATGTCGCTGGCGGAAAACATACTTTGCAATCCTCACTCCATCAACACATGCCAAACGATGTTCTTCCACTTCCAACCTTGGGGCGGCGGATCATGGAGGGAGCGTGTGTTTGGAATGATCTTCCTTCATTTGATGGCAACTATTCGTACGTGGCCGGCTATTAGAAATGGGCGGAGGATGTGCTGGATCGATGCGAGATTCAACTAAAGAGAGGATGCATTTACAATGCGGTCTATGCTTCCTTGTTCTCCTACGACTATTCTCCGGAGATCGTGAAGGCCGTTTGCGAGGCGTGGTGTCCCAAAACCAACACCCTTTTGACTGCCGCCGGTGAAGTATCGATCTCTCTCCGTGACTTGGCGTCCTTGGCGGGCCTCCCTATACTCGGCTCATTTTACGAAGAGGTGGTACCAAGCGCAAAGGAGCTATATGGCAGTAAAGAGGATAGGAAGCTGGTTCCCCGTTCGTGCCGGTACCTGTTGCATGCCTATCACCTTCTTCGGAGTCGTGACAAAGGTTGACGTGGCGTCAGTGCAACCGACTGGATTTCTTTTTGGTACAAAAAGACCGTTAAATACGAGCGTCCTCAAATTCGTCGCGGCAAGGAGTCTACTCGTTCTTCTCGGCCTGACACGACTTACAATCCTACCGGAGAGATTGGTGCCCACGAGGCATGGTCGAAGGCACAAGAGTCATCTTTTGCCAAACTCAAAATTGGACGGGAGCACCTTCAGGAGACTTTTCTCGCATCGTTCATTTCTTGTTGGCTTTGCATCTTTGTGCTTCCACTCGACGATGTTGGTTTGATACGTCTTTCAACTTTCAAGATGGCAAGTGTCCTAGCGTCGGGATTTCCAGTAAGCTTGGCCATTCCAGTCTTAACCAGTATTTATAGAGGGCTGAACCAGATCGCGGATTCATCATGTCCTGGGAAAGTTCGGTCGACAATTCCTCTCCATTTTTTGACCGGATGGATCGCTGAGTATTTTCAGACCCACTACGGCGTGTGGAAGGGAATCCGTGGTCCGGGGATGGTGAAGCACTCCGGGGCTGTTAGTGCTCGTGCGTATAGAGCAGATGTTGCATGCCGAAAAATCTTGCGCGGTGACTACTTTCGTTGGGCTTGCACCATGATCACGAAAGACTTCAACGTACGGTTTGTTGATGACGGGAAGCGCGAAGACTACGAGCAAGAATACTTCATCTCCATTCGCTCTTGTTTTCTGACTTTGCGGGATGGATTTCGATGCTTCATGGAGCCGTATAGTCCCCACCGTTTTTGCCGTCAATTTGGTTTTTTCCAAGAGATTCCCGGAGTTCTTTTGAAAGACGTCCGTTGCTGCGCTTTTGAGGAAGGCTATCAACATTGGCACCAAAGCACTTACTTAAAATCTTCAACCGAAGTTATTCTTCCACGCATTCCTGCGATTCTGAGGGGATTTTCTTCCGACGTATACAAGAAGTGGTGGACTCAAGTTTGCAGGTCTTTCTTGGATGAGTATATCCCGCCGGTACAAAAGACCACCGACCATACCAAGCCATCGGATAAAGCTCGAAAAATGCCGCTACTTATCCCGGGTGTTCCTGAGAGGAACAATGGAAATTCAAGTACTCCCAATGTCGATTCTTCAAAGCGGGTGGTACCTTCTATCTCTGAACGAAGCAGTAGTGAGCATGATGTTCATTGGAAGCGAGCTCGTCGAGATCCCCATATCATCAACCCGTTAAGTCCTCGTTCGAGCCGACACCATTCTTCGAGCGATTTCGCGAGAGAGGTAACTTCTATCTCTTTTTTTTCTCTCTCTTTTTTTTTTGACATGATTTATTTTTTTTTATCCCTTTTTTCAGTTGGAGCAAAGAATCACGAGTATGGATGAAAAGATGGCGAGCCGAGATTCCATTGTTGAGATGATTGGAGAAAGCAGAGGTGTTTGCAATGAGCAAGTAGAGGATTCTCCAACCAAGCCCATAGTTGTTCATTCCGTTGTGCCCGCAGTTTCAGAATTCTATGGTGCGGATTTTGTGAAAGGGATCCAATGCGAATATATAGGAAAAGTATGGTCGGATCTTCGGGGTAAGCTTTTGAGGACACCAGCTCGTTTGCTTTCCTCGATTAAGGACGAGGTTGACGTAGTGCTCCAATCAATGAAATGCTTTCAGTATTCTGACATTTCTCATATTGAGGACCGAGTCAAGGCCCTTTTTGATGACGCTGCATCTTTTGATGAGGCATGTTCTGACTCGATCGACGCCATATCCTTGGCGGCTCGTAACCAACAGATTTCCGAGATCAAAGATCGTTTGTCGCACCTTGAGACGAGGCATGTTGAGGAGTGCGAAGCTATCAAGGAGTTAGAGGGGTGTGTGGAGAATATTGACGTGAAGCTTCGCTCTTTACAAGAGCAAAAAAAAAAAAAGAATATTTCCCTTATTAAGCAACGTCAAGGAGTTAATGAGAATATCACCATTTAAATTGCTGAAGTCAAGGATGAACTCGCCGCCGCAGAGATCCCCGCGCAAGACGAAGAATACTTAAAAAGCTTAGAAGAGTTGTTGGATATTAGCAAAGAAGAGTTGTATAATCTTAATGTTTAAGATCAATTTGTACTCTTCATTTTGATTGCCAATCAATAAATTTAAATTCTCTCTTTTTTTTATTATTTTTTTTCTCGGGCATATTTTTTTACCTAAATCCTTTATTATTATTTATTTATTTATTTATTTGACTGAACTTGAAGGTATATCTCAAGCTGCCTACGTACCCGGTAAATGGATCAAGTCATAACGTAGTTCAAAGCAACTTGAATTTGCTTTTATTATTATTTTGCAGTTTATTCTCATGCTAAGGAGTCTTGATTTGATTTGAAGGTCTCACGCATAATATCTTTTGAGGAACCTCCCATTGATTGGCCCTATCCGGAGTCCGTCTTGAGATGACAACTTGTATGCACCATTTGTGTAGACCTGAGTGACGACGTAGGGTCTATCCCACTTGGATAAAAATTTATTTCCCGAACGAAAGTTGATCACAATGGGCCTTCTCACAGCAAGAACCAAGTCCCCGATTTGAAAGGATGGTGATTTGACTTTTTTATTGTAAGCTCGAGATAATCGTGCTTGATAACACTCCAGTCTTTGTTGAGCTTGTAGTCTTTTCTCGTCGAGAGCCTCTAGCACTTCGAGTCTTAATCTGACATTTTCTTCGGTCGTCAATTTTTCCTGAAGAGCAATCCTTAGTGAAGGAATTTGTTTTTCCAATGGGAGGACAGCTTCGACCCCATATACAAGTGAGTACGGTGTCGCTTGTGTTGGAGTGCGGAATGTAGTACGATAGGCCCACAAAGCTTCACCAATGCGGTCATACCAATCTCTTTTTGATTTGGAGACATCCTTTTTCAGCAAGTTACAAAGTGTTTTATTGAATGCCTCTGCTAGTCCATTTGCCGGTGCATAATACATAGAGGACTTCTTTTGTTGGAAGCCAAACTTTTCACAAAGCTTGTCGATGTGAGTATTGGCGAAAGATCTTCCATTATCAGTGATGATACACCGAGGAACCCCAAAACGGTAAATGATGTTGACTCGTATGAAGTCAGCTACCGTCTCCTTTTTTACTTCTTTCAAATGAATTGCTTTTGCCCATTTGGAGAAGTAGTTAGTTGCGGCCAAGATATAGAGATGTCCAGCGGACGACTTTGTGAGTGGTCCTACGACGTCCATGCCCCAGGTATCAAATGGCCACGAAGCAATAGTTGGGTGCAATGGTTCCGGTGGTTGATTGATAAAGTTAGGATGAAATTGACACGGTTGGCATCTCCGTGCAAACTCTATACAGTCTTTAACCATGGTTGGCCAATAATACCCCATCCTCTTTATTCGGAAGTGTAACTTTGGGCCAACTTGATGAGCTCCACAGATTCCGGCATGAGTTTCCTCCATAGCTTGTTTTGCTTGATGATTGCCGAGGAATCGAAGGAACATGTTGTCGAACGACCGACGATAGAGTATGCCGTTGAAGTAGGCGTAGCGTGCAGCTCTTCTTCGGATATCTGCTCGTCTGCGCGGGTCACTCGGGAGCTTGTCATATTTTAAGAAATCTAATATTGGTTGCCGCCAATCTTCTTCTTCTTCTTCAATTTCAAACACCTCGATGAGGTGATTTACTTCTTTTTCAACACATTCTTCTTCTTCATACTTGCAGAAATCCACCCAAACTTTGCGTATCGGAATATACACCTGTTGATCTGGGATGGATAGAGTCGATGCCAATTTAGCCAGAGCGTCAGCTTGCCCATTCTCTTTCCTTAGGACATATTCAATAGAGACATCCCCGAGCAACTCAATGAGTGCCTTAGCATACTTTAAGTAAGACATTAGTCCTGGTTTCTTCACTTCAAACTCTCCAGTGATTTGATTTACAACCAGCTTGGAATCCCCGTATACTTGAAGTTGGCGTTGCTTGATATCTACCGCCATTTTTAGGCCGAGGAAGAGTGCTTGATACTCAGCCACATTATTTGAACATTTTTCTTTTAAGGCAAAAGAGTATGGAAGGACTTCTCCTTGTGATGTGACAAATATTACTCCGGCTCCAGCTCCATTTTTGTGTGATGAGCCGTCAAAATACATTTTCCATGGTGGGGTGATTTCGAGAAAAAACGCGTCTTCATCAGGGAAGTCGTTAGACAACTCCCACTCAGCGGGGATGGGATGATCAGCAAGGAAGTCAGCCAATATTTGTCCTTTTACAGCTTTCTGTGGTACATAAATGATTTCGAATTGTTGCAGCTGCAGGTACTACCTCGCGAGTCGATCAGAAAGGACAGGCTTTGACATGACATATTTCAAGGGATTTGCTTTGGACACCAACCGGATAGTGTGCGCTTGGAAGTAATGCTTCAACCTTTTTATGGCGAAGATGAGTGCCAAGCATATCTTTTCCACCGGTGAATAATTTAGTTCATTTGGTGTCATCATTCTACTGAGGTAGTAGAGGGTATTTTCTTTCCCTTTATTGGCTTCCTGTGCTAACAAGGCTCCAACTGAACGTTCTTGTTCAGCGATGTAAAGCGTCAACGGATGTCCAGGAATTGGGGCTGTCAGCACTGGTGGCTTTGTCAAGTAGTCTTTGATACTTTGGAATGCCTTCTTGCATGCTTCATCCCAATGGAAAGGCACTCCATTCTTCATGATTCGGCTGAAAGGTTGACATCGTCCAGCGAGGTTAAAGATAAATCTTCTTATATATGCTAATTTCCCTTGTAAGCTTTTTAGCTCGTGGATGTTACGAGGCTTAGGCATTTTTGTGATGGCATCTATCTTTGCCTGTTCAATCTCAATTCCACGACTATGGACAATTAATCCGAGGAATTTTCCGGAGGTGACTCCAAAAACGCACTTGAGAGGATTCATTTTTAATTGGTAGCGCCTCAACCTTTCAAAAACCTTTCTTAAGTCTTCCAGGTAATCTTCTTTTCTCTTGGATTTGACAACCAAGTCATCAACATAGCACTCTACATTTTTGTGTAGCATGTCATCAAAGATCTTTTGCATTGCTCTTTGGTAGGTTGCCCCAGCATTTTTCAATCCGAAAGGCATAACTTTGTAACAGTAGATACCTTTCGGTGTACGAAAGACGGTTAACTTTTCGTCTTCAGGCGCCATACGAATTTGGTTATATCCAGATGATCCATCCATAAAAGAAAGTCATGTCATGTCGTTGCATCAATCATCAATTCAGTTATGGGTAAAGGAAAATCATCTTTTGGGCATGCTTCGTTTAAGTCCCGGAAATCCACACAAACTCGGATTTGTCCATTCTTCTTCTTTACAGGCACGATGTTGGAAATCCATTGGGGGTATTTGACTTCCCGGATGAACCCCACTTTAATGAGTTTTTTTACTTCATTTTCAATTTGAGGGATGAGTTCAGGACGGAATCTTCGTTGCGCTTGCTTCACAGAGCGAGCTCCCTTCTTCACACGTAGATGGTGGACCGCAACTTTCAGGTCTAAGCCGGGCATTTCTTTATATGACCAAGCGAAGACATCTTGGAATTCGTTGAGAAGTCGGGTGTAGGCATTCATATCATCCTCACCCAGCTCTTTGCTGACATAGACAGGTCTTGGGTGATCTTCATTTCCCATGTTGACTTCTTCTAACTCGTCCACTGCAGGTTTGACCCCTTCTTCAAGCGCGGCGGGTGCATTTCCTGCATCTTCTTCAATCATTGTCTCTTCTCCCCCTTCAGTGATGTAGCAGGATGATGCAACACTTTCTTCATTATCTTCTTTGGGTTTGGTGAAGACAACGGTTTGCCATTTAGCCTTTAAAACTTTACCGCAATGTATCGTCATTTTTGTTTGACGCGTCATGCGGGATGGAAAGCGGCTCTTGATTTCTTCATCCATCTCCACATATTTTGTTGATGTGGAATTCGTCTTGTTTTTCTCTTTATTGATCTTTGGTCCTAACCTTGTGAAGACAGAAGGTTTTAGCCTCTCGAAAACCGATACTCTTTCATTCTTCCCCTTTTGAGGTGAATTGGAAGACAAAGTCTCGCTTTCGGTGATATGATGATTTGCAGCCCTTTTGATAGCGATGCGTACGGGAGCTTGTGGCATGTACCCAAGACCAGCCCTCGAACCTTAGGTTGTCTGTGGTGGTAACTTTCCCAGCAGTGATTCCTCAATTGTATTATATCCATCTTTTGTGAGACGTTTGTAGGCTTTTGGGCCAAAGCTTTTGTCATTTTACAATCGCACAGCCTCTATTTTTTCTTCTTTCCCATTCCTTGTTTGTAATGGGGAGATTGGGTTGAGTGGGGTCTTCAGAAGAGTCAAATCTTTCAGAGGCTCAATTAATGAGTCTGCAGAACCTGAGGCAGGTGTTTTTTCTTTATCTCTTAACTTTGCCCCAAAGTTTGGTTGTGGTGCTTTGACATCTTCATGTACCTTGGATTTTTTTGCTTCTGTAGAGAAATATTTGGCGTCGGCAAAGTGTGACTCGGCTTCTGCATATGGCTTTGTGTCTCCGAGAACTTTTTTTGTCACTTCATTTTGAGTGTATTTGAAGCATTGGTGCCACGTTGATGGAACTACACCATTCTCATGTATCCATGGTCTTCCCAAAAGAACGTTGAAAGATGTCTTTGCGTCTATCACGTAGAACAAAGGGTTAGTTTCCATTTCATCGATTAACAGTCTCAATCTTATGGTGCCAAGTGCTCTTTGCCCCTCTTGATTGTATCCATGTATTGTTATATGACTCTCGAACAACTGATCTACTGGTATTCCCAATTTTTGCAATGTGTATAGAGGAAGGACATTGACTGCAGCTTATCCGTCTAAGAATATCTGGCTAATCCTTTGTTCATGGATATAACCCACGACCAGTAATGGACAATTATGGGGTTTGGATCCTAACATCAAATCTTCATCAGTGAAAGTTATCGTGGCACATTCTTCACTCGATTTGTCTCTGATCGCCTTGCCACCTTTCTCGGTAGTGAGGTAATATGATTCTTTGTCTTTTATGTCAACTTCGAGAGAACCGAACATTATTGAAGTGACATTAACAGAAACAGAATCGTCTTCAAGGGTGATCTTTCCTTCATGAGCCAACTCCATGACTTTGTCTTTAAAGATGAAACAGTTATGGATGGGATGTCCTACGACACGATGGTATTTGCAGTATCTTGGGTCATCAACCTTTCCAGCTTCCTCCGGTCTTTTTGAATTCGGAAGTTCAATGAGGTTTTCTCTGAGTAGATCGTCAAAGATGCCCGAGAAGTCAGAATCCAGGAAAGGATAAGTTTTGGATTGCAACTCTTTAAGGGTTGGCCTTGGCGGTCTTTCTGTCTGAGTTGATTGTCTTTTCCTTGCAACTTCCTTTTCTTTACTTTGGATCTTCATAGGTGCTTTGGTCGTCGTTTTTATGGCCAAAGCTTCTTTTCCGAAAGAGTTGATAGGGGCGTTGTTCCCCTTCTTTACGGCATCATATCTTTCGTATCTTTTTGCTTTTGAAGATTCTTGAACTGGTGGTCCGTGCATCCCGCTTGAAGCCATACTTAACCCCATGTCATGAGCGCGGGTAGCAAGTTCTTCGAAAGTGTGGGGTCGGATCCCTTGCAGGATGTATTTCAACCCCCAGTGCATTCCTTGGACGCACATCTCTATACCGGAGGCCTCAGACAACCGGTCTTTGCAGTTCAAGCTCAGACTCCTCCAGCGGTTGATGTAGTCGATTGCTGGTTCATCTTTCCATTGACGAGTATTGGTGAGTTCTGTCATACTGACGGTCCTTTTTGTGCTGTAGAACCGGTTCAAGAACTCGTACTCCAACTGCTCCCAACTGTCGATGGAACCAGCCTCCAGTTCGATGTACTAGTCGAAGGCGTTGCCTTTTAATGACCGTACGAACTACTTCACCAAGAGATCGCCGTATGTCCCAGCGTTGTTGCATGCTTCCATGAAGTGTGCCACATGCTGCTTTGGGTTGCCTTTGCCATCAAATTGTTGGAACTTTGGCGGTTGATATCCCAACGGCATCTTGAGGGCGTCGATCCTTAAAGTGTAAGGCTTGGCCATACATATTTGTTGGCCTTGAACTTCCTTTTAACTCCCTTTTAAGAGCTCCTTTGATATACTCGTCAAGTTGGGATAGATGAATGAAGGAGTTAGATGATGCTTGAAACGGCATTGGTCCCGCCATTTTTTCTTTACCGTGGCGTTGATCCATGGATGTTTCTGCTTCATTTTGGGCCTCCGAAGCATTCTGGTTGGTTGGTTCTGGCTTGTCCAATTTTGCAAGCAGTTTTGCGATGACATTGTCTTGTTGCTGCTTGTGTTGAGACATCACTTCAACAACTTTGGCCAGTGCAACAAGTTGGTCTCCTATGTTTGAAGCGTTCGTGGTCATCACCGGGGCATAACTCGATGCAGTCGAACGAGTTGCAACTTTTTGAGGGGTGCCCGGTGCAGAGGTACTCTTGAAGCTTTCATCCACCTCATAGAGTGAGTTTTGCTCTGTGATTTTCGGATGTGCATCCTCGGAAATGACAGTACTCTTTTAGCCATGCTTCGTGTCATCACTCCAGCATTCGTTAAAGCATTTGAGGTTCTTGATGTAGTAGCAGTGACTCATTTGGCGGTGGCGGCTAGAGCAGCAGCTTTCGACACAGCATTAGAAGTCTTGATTTTCTAGGAAGCCATTGATCGTTTGAGACTTCGACGGAAAGAGAGATGAAAGGTAGAGTTGTCCCACTGGGCGTGCCAAAAATCTGTAGACAAAAAAAATCGTGTTATATTTTTATAAACACAAAATCATACAAATTACATTTAATTTAATATATGCGGGTCCTATTCTCTATTTGGATCATTTGATTCTCTCTCTGAGTCAATCTGTTTTTCCAATTTGGATTTGGGTGGCTTCTTTGATCCGAAGGGATTTTGGTCTTCGGTTTGACTTCGCCGGCTTTTGGGAGACTTTGGTATCCGTGTTGGCGATTTTGATCGTCAGCTTTGGATTGATGCCTCCTTTGGATGATCCGACGGAATTTGATCTTTGAGGGGGGAGATTTGGTGTTTCATAACACTTTTGGCGGCGTGTTCCGTTGACTTTTGGATCGAAGAGGGCCTGGTTTGCGCCTTTTATGAAGAACGCGACGAACATCTTGAAGCTTTGAGAGCGGCTTTGGAGGCTCTTCCTTGGCTTTGATGGATTCCTCGATGGCTTTGAGAGCGGCTTTGGAGGCTCTTCCTTGGCTTTGATGGATTCCTCGATGGCTTTGAGAGCTTTGATCCTTCCTCCGGCTTGGACATACGACGAAGAACGTTAAATTCATCGATTCGCCAACCAATATTGGATCATTTGTCCAAATCGGTGACTTTTCGACGAAGAACGCTTCGAAGGACACGAAGACAATGAAGAACATTGCAGAGAGTTTACAGAGACTTACCCTTGCGCGAGTCTTCAAATGAACTTCGGTGTGTCAAATGAACTGGCCATGACTCCTATTTATAGGAGAGGGTGGCCTTGGCTTCCTTTTCGGATGGTGCCACGTGAATGGAAAGATTTTATAATCTTTCCTTTCCCATCGGATGCCGTTTTTCATTTTTGACGGATTTGATTGTGCACCTTCCTTTCTCGCCAAAATCTTTATATTATTGCCTTTTTTGGAAGATATTAATTTATATACTTCCTTTATTGACAAGATCTTTATATCATTGCCTTGTTTGGAAGATATTAATTTATATACTTCCTTTATTGACAAGATTAATTTATTTTGCTGCCAAATTTATTATGGCTCTATTTATGCACGTAATATTTGTACGATATCTTCCATTTTAAACAGATTTTTGCATTAATGGTTGATATTTATTGTACAAAAATTAACATATGTGCATAATTAAATACCATATATTTATATTATTGGAATTTTTTATTTTCTTACAAAATACATGATATTTAATTTACTTTAGACATTTAATTTTTAATGCCTACAACATAATATAAAAATTTTAATAAATTAATTATTTGATTTGGCTTAATATAAAATATTTTAAGAAACTACCATAAAATATAATACTTTATCAATACAAAATATATGACTTTGTTTCTTTGGCCGTGAGTTTGGGAAACTCACGGTGTTGTTACCGTAGAAG